AAACCTTGGCTGCAGCAAGGAGCATGGTCATTAGCACACCTGGTCATTAGGGAAGCCAATGCACTCACCAGAGGTTGCAGTTTTCTCTGTAGGTGGCTCCAGGTGGGTACTTGTGTGCACCACGAACACAGCCTGGACAGGAGAGAGGTGAAAAACCATCAGTGGGAATCTTTCCATTGATTTCAAAGGAGCAGGACCATAACCCATGTAAAATAAGGAGCCATGGTCACACAGGGAGAAAGTGACTTGACCAGGGTCATACAGGGAGTCTGTGGCAGAGAAGAGACTTGATCCTAAGCTTTGAAAGTCTCTGAACTTCTGCATCACCCTTCTACACTAGTCCCGGCCCCCACTGAGAACAGATCTGAGCTGTCCATGGAAATATTCCGCCCCTCTCTGTGCCACAGCCAATCTTAGACAGGTTTTCTGGGCTACTTGGGGGAAGGTGGGAGCACAACTCTTGCTTCTCAAGGCATGCAAGGGTTACATTTTATCCCAGGGTAGGAGGAGCCGGATTCTTCCTTTTATCCCTGTGCAACTATGCAGCCTCTGTGCAGGCCTAGCCAAACTTCCCGGCAGGTCTTTGACTCCCTCCTCCCGTCTGTCTCCCTGCAGCTGGGTGTGAGGCCAAAGTGCAATCAGAGGCAATGGCCGGCATGATTTATCACCCTCTGACGCATTGGCTCAGGGCACGTGCCTGGGTGCAGCGGAGGCTTGTGCGGTTTGGGGTTGGGTGCCAGCCAGGCGAAGCGTGTGCAAGGTGTGACGCACGCCCCGGCAGGCCTCTCATGTAAACACGCCCCGGGCTTTTCTGATTGCTTCCCACAGGTGAGTGCCCGGGGGCCAGGTTCTGCTCTCACCTGCATAGATCAAGACTGGCTCCCCTGGGGACACTGGATTCCCACGCGCGTAACAGAGCAGACTCCACCCCCTCGCTTAGGGGCAATGTTCCCTCGATTTCCCCCCATGCATGTGCGGGATAAATGTTGTGATGTGCACAGAGGCATGTGCAAATGTGCACCACTCATAGAAACACGTTGCCAGCTGTTTTCCAATCAGCTGGGCAGCACCTGCATCTCCCCTGAGTGGCCCCCACAAGCGCTCAGCTTACAGGGAACGCAGCTTAGGGGCCAGCTCTTCACACTCCCAACATGCCACTTTGCTTGGGGACCCTTGTGGCCGTACAGAGCCCCCTCTTGGGCCAACCCACCCGCGACTCCAAAAGGGGCTCACGCTGGCTCCCCACTGCGTCGTAGCCAGGAGGGCACAGCGGTGCGTGCCATTACTGCGGGACTCTGCCGTGGGGCCGGCAGGAGGAATTCCCAGAGAGCAGCGCTTGCAGGGTGAGATCATGGGAGCGCCCAAAAAGGCCTCCCACGCACCCGGGGACTGGAAGCATTTCAGATAAAGACGCCAGTTACAAACGCTTGATTCATAGTTACAAGCTGACGGGTTTCTCAATGGCTTCTTAGAAAGAGTTTTGTTCTATGCACCGGTGGGAGGGACACGCAGCCCGGCAGATGGCCGGGCAGAGGGGAGTCCGGTCTGTACATTGGGGTGACACGTGTCCAGCTCCAAGGATCATGACGTCATCAGACTCGGAGCTCCCAGACAGCAGCTGCTGCACAAGGATCACCGCACGAGGACAAATCCCATCCTGGGATTCCACAGATAGGGCCCAAACACCCCCCGAGTCTCCGTCACTCCCCCGCCCAGCTGGCTCGCCGACATTTCACCCTGGGGGAAAGAGACCCACATATCTGCGTAGGGTCAACTTTTGGTCTGGTTGCCCCAGGTGAAGTTCTAGAGCCAGGGAGTCCGACATGCCAGTCACTAGTCACACGTGGCTATTTGGCTGGCTGAGCATGGCTAGTTCACTCTAGCAGGAACCGCTACAGTAGCTGCTGCTTCCGACCTGGTTGGGCACCCCAGTTCCAGAGCGAGTTGTCTGCAGGCAAAGGTGTTATCTGGGGTCGCTCTGGTGCGCAGAATACGACCGACTGCGGGGCCGTCCTATGGAAAGCCGATAACTAATACGGGCCAAACCCTCTTTTTGGGAAGGCTGATTTATACCAGCTGTGGATCCCCCCTCCCCACCCGTGTTCTAGAGATGGAACTTGAGTGTACTGGGCCATATTCTGCTCTCAGATACTCTCCGCCTGGGTCTAGGGTTGCCAGGTCTCCAGTTTTCACCCGGACTGTCCGTTATTCGGGTCCCCCCGCCTGGTAAAAAAACCCAGAAAATACCGGACATGTGAAATGTCCAGTATTTCCTTTCCCTCGGATGGAAGCCCGGCGGGGACAATTTTTCCCTGCTGCATCTGGCGGGGGTGCAGTGGGGCCATTTAAAGGCACAGCAGCTTTTTTTTTTTTTTTTTGCTTAACAACTTTGGTCTCGTCTCTTTTTTTTTCTCAACAGAGTTTTTTCCTGATTTTTTTTTTTGGGGGGGGGGAGGGAGGTGTTCGGTATTTTTTGTTAAACCATCTGGCAACCCTACCTGGGTCCAACCTTCATTGTCTCCAGGGGCCCTGGGCTTGGCTTGACTTTCTTCCCTCCCTTCTTGGCCCATGACTTTCCCAGTGCCTGGCACCGCAGGGGTAAGGACACTTCACTCAAGAGGCAGCCAGCACTCTAGGAAAGGCGGCTGGCAGCTCCCCAGGCAGCCTGGGGCCGGAGGCAGGCGGCTGGGGGGTGTGTGAA